GGAGTTTTCACCTGTCACTGTCTTTTACTAACCACGCTCATAATTTATTAGTAGAGTCATCAACATGGAGTTTTCACCTGTCACTGTCTTTTACTAACCACGCTCATAATTTATTAGTAGAGTCATCAACATGGAGTCTTCACCTGTCACTGTCTTTTACTAACCACGAACGTAATTTGTTAGTAGAGTCATCAACATGGAGTTTTCACGTGTCACTGTCCTTTACTAACCACGCTCATAATTTATTAGTAGAGTCATCAACATGGAGTTTTCACCTGTCACTGTCCTTTACTAACCACATTCATAATTTATTAGTAGAAGTCATCAACATGGAGTTTTCACCTGTCACTGTCTTTACTAACCACATTCATAATTCATTAGTAGAGTCATCAAAGTAGAGTTTTCACGTGTCACTTTGTCTTTTACTAACCACGCTCATAGTTTGTTAGTGTGGTTATCAATACTGGATAAACAAAGAAAATGTGAAAGTAATGAGTTTTATAGTCCAAGCCGAAAAAGCAAATTTCAAACTCGTTATTTCTCTCCAGGTTCTGGTGGCTTTCGTGATAACAGCTTTGTTGACTATGGCCTATTGTTCTGATGTGATGGGAAGTTGTACGTATCAGGAAGTGGTCCGAAGTATCTATGGAGAACAAATCAGAAGAGTGTGTGCTATCTGTATCACCATGTTTATGTTCGGATCCTCGATCACATACCTAATCATTATAGGAGATCAGTTTGATACAGGTAATATATGCGACTTTTTCTATATAGAAATGACAAGACGGTTCCTCTGGATCCTGGTTTTTTTTATCCACTTGGAAGGAAAGACTTGATCCATTTGTGGAAGATGTTTTATAAGGGATGTTGTAAAATCTCGACTATTCATTATATATTAGACGTACTTTGCTATTTTGATTTGAAACTGAACAAATATTTTCTTATAAAAAGTATTTGTTTTTTTCAGTTCTTTTCTCTCTGTATGGGAAGGAATTCTGTCACAGCTGGTATATGAGAAGGGAATTAACAACAACTATCAGCACCATCTGCGTTATTTTACCTCTTAGTTTTCCTAAGAGAATAGACTTCCTGAAATATACCAGGTAAATACATGAATTGTTTATATCATAAAGTTAAGTTTGTGACTCATAGAATTTACGATCAGTTTAAATCTGTTTTTAAACAAAACATTTTTAATTTAGTTTCATACATTTAAGATATTAGAGTTTAATATTTAGTTTCATACATTTAATATATTAAATTTCAATATTTAGTTTCATACATTTTTGATATTAAAGTTCAACATTTAGTTTCATACATTTATAATATTAAAGTTCAATATTTAGTTTCATACATTTAAGATATTAAAGTTCAATATTTAGTTTCATACATTTATAATATTAAAGTTCAATATTTAGTTTCATACATTTAAGATATTAAATTTCAATATTTAGTTTCATACATTTAAGATATTAAAGTCAATATTTAGTTTCATACATTTAAGATATTAAAGTCAATATTTAGTTTCATATATTTAAGATATTAAATTTCAATATTTAGTCTCATACATTTATAATATTAAAGTTAATTTTTTAATTTCATACATTTATAATATTAAAGCTCAATATTTAGTGCCTCCCCAGTGGCACAGCGGTATGTCTGCGGACTTACAGCGCTAGAATCCGGGTTTCGATACCCGTGGTGGGCAGAGCACAGATAGCCCATTGTGTAGCGTTGTGCTTAATTACAAACAATATTTAGTTTCACACATTTATAATATTAATATTCATACCGTAAGTTGTTTTACGTAATAGTAATTCTTGAAAGTGGAGATATTATCCAAATTATAATCTGGAATATTCTTACATGTTTTGTTTCGTTTTCACAAAATATGTTAAACAGTACAATTATGGTATCCTCACATATATTGATAATCTTCTGATAAGACTAATAACCTCTGTAACTAGAGGCTTGGGAGAATAAGTATTTCAGGGCTAATTCTGCGTTTCTCATCTGACTCAGTTGAAGGAAAAGACTGGCTACAAATTGGCATTGAAATAAAAACAATATTTATTAAAAGCATATACAGGAGACAACTCAATCAACAAGTGCGTACAAGATAGCATTTTTCTCTAACTCTTGATAGACTAAAGCCAGAAAACTCTGAGAGCATTAAATATTATATACAACTGATAATAGGTTTAACTCTCCCAGAGAGTCACTTAGTATTCCTCAACCTCTACATGACTGATGCTACTAGAAAACACATTATTGTAAATCTAAGGAATTTTCCCGAGACACCTTCCGTGGGAACATTCAAGAATACCACAAAAGGAAACGACCCTTGACTGTAAGTGACTAGTTCATGAATGAGGTCGCGACATTCTATAGCCGGTATATCTGCACTTTCAACTCAATATGCGCGACAAACGCGTATGCGTTCGAAATTTTTTGAAAATTTTGGCAAACAAGAAATGTTCACCTTTCTAAATTAAAAGCATTCTTTGTTTCAGAATTTTCGCGCAAGCCTATACGATGGGCTAGCTGCTCATAGCCAACACAAAATTTGAGCAAATAGACTAGAGGGAAGGCAGGCAGTCAACAGCACCCACCGCCAACACTTGGACTACTTTTGTCTTATCGAATAGTAAAATTTGGCCGACACTTTATAGTGCACTCTCCGACCTTATGACGCTAAGAATCTGGTTTTGATACCTGTGGTTGGAACAGTATCAATAGCCCATTGTGTAGCTTTGTGTTTAATGAAAAAAAAAAGTATAGCACACTCACGGCTCCAAACTGTTAGCAGCAACGGGCCGTGAAACAAGAACTCTCCGATTTACTGTCCGAGTACACTAATATCTAGGCCACGCCCGGCTCCAAACTAAAAGGAAAATTAACATTAGATTTCACAAAATTTAACATCATGTACAATCTTCTGCACTTTTTGTCAAAGACCAGGAATATATGTGGAATTAATATTTTTCTTGTCATTTGCCCTTCTGAGCTCTGCCTACGTGGTAAAAGTTCTGGAGTAATATTCTTCATATAAAAACTCAAATATGTTTCAAGTGTGTTTCAAAATTTTCAAGCACTATTATAAATATATTTTGTTTTTTAACTTTGTTTGTTTAATTTCGCACAAAGCTACTCGAGGGCTGTCTGCGCTAACTCTCTCTAATTTTGAAGTGATAGACAACAAAACTCACTGCCAACTTTTGGGCTATAATTATCTAAGAGTGGGATTCCCCTTTACATAATAACGCTCCCACGGCTGAAAGGGGGGAGCATGGTCGGTAATGGGATTCGACCCGCAAATTGCGAATTGTGCTTCCTAACCCCCTAAGCTATAGCAGGTCCTTTAGCTTCATATGTTGGGACAGTTCATGAGTGATGTCCCCCGGTTGGGTAGCGGTAAGATCCGGGGTTCGATTCTCCACTGTGGATACAGCAGATTGCCCAATGTGTCTTTCCACTTAACAGCAAACAAACAGATCACAAGTGACACGATCGGAAGCTTTGATGTTTCTCATCGTGGACTTTTTTGATAAATCAACATCTGGGGATCCGGGGTTCGATTCTCCACTGTGGACACAGCAGATTGCTCAATGTGTCTTTCCTCTAAACAGCAAACAAACAGATCACAAGTGACACGATCGGAAGCTTTGATGTTTCTCATCGTGGACTTTTTTGATAAATCAACGCCTGGAGATCCGGGGTTCGATTCTCCACTGTGGACACAGCAGATTGCTCAATGTGTCTTTCCTCTAAACAGCAAACAAACAGATCACAAGTGACAAGATCGGAAGCTTTGATGTTTCTCATCGTGGACTTTTTTTGATAAATCAATGCCTGGAGATCCGGGGTTCGATTCTCCACTGTGGACA